TTTTATCACAGTGTCAAGAAGAATGAGTGTTTTATACATGTATATAAAGCAGATTTTGTGTTTTTATCACAGTGTCAAGAAGAATGAGTGTTTTATACATGTATATAAAACAGATTTTGTGTTTTTATCACAGTGTCAAGAAGAATTATTATCTTTTGTATTTGTTTAACTTCATGTCTACAGAAAAAAGGACAAGTTTTATTTTTTTGCTTGTAAGCTAACAAAACAAAAATATATTCAATGTTTTTACTTCACAAATATATTATATAAATGGATGATGTAAAGAGGTTTCATATTTCCAGTATTTCTCCTTCAAAGTAGTAACATGGGTGATGCTTTGTTAAGTGGAACTTTTATTTCAAATGGAGAAGAAATGATTTAAATGCTGCTATTCTAAGTGTTTATGTTATGGACTTGCCATTTGCACTTTAGCCGACAAGTATAAGCTGAATCGCTTCATCCAGGAATGGTGTTAAAGATCTTCAAATTATTTCTCAAGGGTCAGAATTCAATGGTTTCATTGTAGTGTTCAGCTGAAAAATTGTCCATTTTAACTGATCAAATGTGTTTTGTAAACTTTACTATTTACAAATGTGATAATACTGATTTACATAGAACTTCACAGATGATATATTAGGTGCTTCCCAGTTTATTCTGTTGTTTTTTTAAATTTATTAGTGTTGGAAGATTAAAAGAAATGTGATTTCTAGATTTGCTATTTTATCTGCCAGAAAGTGATAAGATTTTATTCTACTGTTATAAGACTGTCTAAAAGGCATATTTCTGAGACTTGAAGCCAAGAACTAAACCTATATTTATCTGTTCAGTTTTTTTACTGAAAGTGACTGTGGTGACTCCCAGTTTGTGCTGGAACTGAAGTGAATTTTACAGCAGTGGATTCTCGTATTAAAAAGTCTGTGCAGAGAAGGCTGGAGTGGTGAATGTATTGAATAGAAGACTATAGGAACGTGAAACATTGTGCAAGGAGACACACCAGCATATTGTGTGTAATTTTTGGCTCATTGTGCTCTTGATGTGTTCTACGTGGGTTGGATAGAAAGCCGTGGTCCTGATGGTGGCCGTGTGTCTGGTCGAACTTGTTTTAACATGGTCAGTAAATGCTCATTTGGGTATAATTTGGACTCTTTGTGTGAATATTAATGACTTCCTTTCGTTGGTAAGTTATACGTTTACACCTCTTATTGTGACAAATAAAGCTTGTTCGTTACTGATATATAAAAATAAAATATTTAACTAATTGTAGAGGACGAAAGTAAACAAAAATATTTTAAAACGTCAGAAAATATTTGTTAAACAGTTTTCTATAAATATTACGAGTTTATTATATAAACAATTTGTACAAACTATAAAAACATGAAGCATTTCAGCAGTAGTTTAAAAAACTTGTCTGATAAACATTTCATGTCCAGTTTCACTATTTAAATTTTCTTTTTTTAGGAACTATATGAATGATAGCCTGAGGTCTGACGTATTTGTTCGATACCATCCAGAAAGTATAGCTTGTGCCTGTATTTATCTAAGTGCCAGGTTGTTGCAAGTAAGTAAGGTTCTGTTATATACTCCTAAATGTTCACAGACTCTAGTTTTCAAGTGACGTTTCATTTTGCTAATGTACGTGACCTTTTTACAGTCGCTACGCGTATATTTATACACGAGCCATGAACGTAGAAGTTTAGATACTTGATCTTTGTACTGAAATAAGTGTTTAATACGGAGGCTAGGCCTGTATATTAGTCTTAGGCTAGGTCTGTATATTAGTCTTAGGCTAGGCCTGTATATTAGTCTTAGGCTAGGCCTGTATATTAGTCTTAGGCTAGGTCTGTATATTAGTCTTAGGCTAGGCTGTATATTAGTCTTAGGCTAGGTCTGTATATTAGTCTTAGGCTAAGTCTGTATATTAGTCTTAGGCTAGGCCTGTATATTAGTCTTAGGCTAGGCCTGTATATTAGTCTTAGGCTAGGCCTGTATATTATTCTAAGTAGAATTTAAGGATAGAAGTTTTATATTAGGGAAGACAGTTGTTTTTTAATTGGTAGGGATTTGCGAACCCATAAAAGGGAGATAATGAGGGGAAATTTGGGGATGGTGTGTACATTGGCTGGTGGTTGGATTTTGTTGTTTAGGAAATTGCGTGTAACCATTATTTAACAGGTGTTTATGTAGAAGGGTAAACCAGATAGCCATTATTTAACACG